CAAAGCTCTTTTAACTATGAAAATGTTTTTCTCCGCGCCTTCCTCGAGATATAGAAAGCGCTTTTGATAACACCTCAAACGTCAAGGTAAAGAGAAAAAAGTATAGGCACCTATTCGTAGGTAAATAGAATCGCTACTACAAACAAGAAAAGAAGAAACCAAGGTAGGAAACAGGTCTTTACAGCTAAAAACCACGAAAACATGCCCAATGAAGGGTTGTCATCGACCACCTTGAGAACCAAGTACCAGATAAACTCCCGCAAAGCTATCAGACAATTAAAGCCGCGGAGGAAAAACCGACACTGTCTTTGTAAAGCTGGGATCCCACGATTGCCGCTATACACCAATTATTTCCTCATTTTATGCCCCAATCGTGTGATTTCACAATACATTGACTCATGCGGCAATAGAGGCCGATATTGTGCTTACTGTGCCCAATCAAATACGGCCCGTGTGCGGCAATCGTGTGATAGCTCGATTGGCAATCATGGGGCAATGAAAATTTCAAAATTGCGGCAATATTTATTGTATTCTTGTGCGGCAATTGAAGTGAACAATACACATCAATATTTAGGCTGTTTATTAATAATTTACTTTTTTGCTTCCTTATGTGTCCAAAAATCACTGAAATTAATATCCTTGTTTTCGGAAGCAACATAACTTTTAATTTAATTTGTAGTGAAATTATAATTTTTCTTGAAGTCCGATAACGGAATCTTTGCCGCGATATATACCACCACAAGCAAAACTCATACGAGAAGAATACGAAAGGTATTTTATGTCACCAAATGGCGGACTGCCATGACAGTATAAATTTATTAAAAAAAAAAATTTAAAAGTTCAATACAGCCCACGACAAAGCAGTAGAACCTCAACATTTTGACCAGTCTTGACTATTTTTCTTCTACTTATTTAATCTTCATTATTTTCGTATAAAAGTATAGCTCATTGTCTAACAAAAACTGCATAAATCCAAATTGCAAGCTTTATACAAAAATTATAAAAATTTCTTAAACTTTTGAACACAATCCCACGGTTTATAATTTGGATTTCTAGAAAAAAATGGTTATTTAGTTTTAGCTCATTGCTAAAAGATCCTGTTGATTTTTTATAATTTTTTTAGCTGACGGTATTATGCACTTTCTTCTCTGTAAATTACTTTGTAAACTGCAAAACAAAATTTTTTCTAGAAACCCAAATTAAAAACCATTGAATTGTGATCAAAATTTTAAGAAATGTTTATAATTTTTGTATAAAGTTTGGAATTTGGACTTATGTGGTTTTTACTAGACAATGAGCTATGGTTTTATAGGAAAAAGTTAACATTAAACAACAGAAGAAAAAAGTCAAGACTGATCAAAATGTTAAGGTGCTATCTTTTGTTGCGAGCTGTACATATAATTATAAAATTTAATTCCAAACATAAATTATGTAAATTCGCAGCTTTCATTTAAACAAACATAACTCTTTTGTACCAATTTTACTTGTAATGAATAAAAAAAATCCTCTACGTAACAAAATTAAAAAGAAAACTGTAGCAACTTGAACTCCGCATAGCACGTTGCAGTTATCGTCGAAAAATAAAAAAACTATACAATCAAACTTCTCAATAAATGCGTGAGATATCGTTGGGCACAAGTTTTTGCTTCTTTGCTTTCAAACAACAACAAATTTGCACAAAATGAGCCCGCAATATACAAAGCAGATGCAATTGATTTATTTTTTTTTTATTAAGAATACGCCATTTTTACACAACAGAGAAAAAAACAGAATTTAGAGGTCAGCGCAACACTTTATGGTCACAATTGCCGCATGCTCGAACAATCGTGTGATAAGTTTGGGGCAATTATTGTCACTATATTTCTTTTCGCCAACTTACGGCAATGAGAATTGTATAAAAAGAGGCAACCGTGTGACTGTACAGAATTTCATTGGGACAATATTTTTATTGTGCTCCAATACAGCACAATAAAAATTGTTCCAGATTGGTCCATTTGCGGCAATCGTGGGATCTCAGCTTAACATAAAAAGCAATCAGTATAAACCGAACAAAAATATTCATCATTCCAATCACAAAAAGAAGACCCCTACCGTGAATGAGAACTAAAGGTCTCGACACTGCCTCAGAAGTGACATAACTCGGCATCACATTCGAGGCCAAACTCTAATTGATCGATAGGGCAATGGTACGCAAACCTCCTGCGCAGAAATCTTAGGGCTGTAGCTCTCGGACATTTTATCATCTTGACTTATGGAAACTTTCAGGGCTGAGTTACCCCTGACCCAATTTCGAGCGGATAGCTTCTTCAGAGAAATGGGCTACCCAAGCTTCAAAATATAACATTGAAATAAGGCAAGGTAGGTGGATACATATTAATTTTGATAAATACTCTCATTTCTTAACGCCTTAATTTAATTTTCTTTCCTATGAAATCTAGCTTTCATTAGCTCTCTACTGGGGGCCACAAAGGCATCAGTTGTCCAGTCCTTTCTTGCAATAGCAACACACAGGAGCAAAGAGAAGAAGTAGAGAACAGTATCGAAACCATTTTGCTTGGCAGCGGCAAGTAGAGAAGCTATTGCCGCAATACAACCAGAAAATTATAAATTCCAATATTTAACTTTACAGATCAATGTAGCAGACTATACACAAATGATGCCTCAACAAAAATAGGTTTGGTTTTTCCACCGAAATTTAAAGTCTATACAATCAAATTCTACTTATAAACCATTCGATTTTTGAAGGTAGTTTCAAATTGGTCCAGCTCACGTAAATCGAAAAAATATTTCGGCGGAGCGCTTATGTAAAATATAAAAAAAAATTATAATTTCGATGAAAAAACTTCACCGATTTTTTTTTTGCATTGAGAGTGTTGCACACTTACGTACATATATATTTACATATTTTTAAATTTCATGGTGAGTGAATTTCCGCACAAATGCCGCCAGTGACCACATTCGCAAATTGCTCTGCTAACTGTCGATATCCACTCGTAAAACTGTCAGTCCTTCTGGGCATACAGTTACTTTTAAGCTTTGCCACTTGCTACACTGCCGCTTGGCAAATTCAGGACAGTGGTCGCTTGGGGTTTTTATCAATAAATTTATTTAAATAATACATAGAACAAGTGTGATTTTAAATGTATTCGTATATCTATATATATAGATAGACGAAGGTACATTTTGAGTAAAATTTAATATTTGGGAATCGATATGGGCAAATTGATGTGGGACCAAGCGCTGCAGCTCAGTAGCCAAAATATTAACAAATTGAGTGTCCTCAGAGCATTGCTTTATTTATATAGAATTCATCAAGTGCGATTGCTATTGTGATGGCAAGGGCGAGCAACATACAAGGTGTGGCGGAAGAACAAGAAACATGATATTGACAGTTCAAATGGGATAGCAGACAACTCTTTTTTTTTTGTAATCCCCAAAGTTACGCATACGCGCTGTAGCACCACATTGCTGCTGTGAAACTGTATACATATGTTACCGGCCAAACCCGGTCTTAGGGCAAGCTAGTTTTGCCGCACAGCTAGGCAGTCCACAATATTGCTGCGTCACGTTGGACGGATATATTGGATATAGGTTGAACTAGTTTAGCTTATGAGAAACTAGTTTTGTCCTAAGATTGGGGTTAGCCAGTAACATATACATTGTCTAAGAAATATGTTTGTATTCATCCAAAAGAAATTTTAGGAAAAAAATACCTCAAACTCATGCTTTAAAACTACTCGTATGACTTCTGGTCATCTTTATAGCTTCACTTATAACAAACATATATTCAATAATTTCTATCTGCAATTTTCAAAAGAATGTATTTGAGCCCAACTGTTACTTAACTGTAAAATCTGACAATATTTCAACAACTTTCAAATCAAATAGTACATTTTAGTAAGAAGCGACACTTAATTCGAATATAATGAAATCGCAAAGAAAAAAAACAGTTTGTGAAAATGTGGTAAAGAATATACCGCAGTAAAATCTGAGGAGAAAAAATTTTACTGGAAAAAATACATGTACGTTAGGACGAAACAATTTTTTGATTATGCGAAATTCTGAGGAAATTTTTCGAAGAAACCATAGGTCTAAAATCAATTTGGAATTTTCCAAATTGCGAAAACAAGTGTGAAAATTTTCACTCCTTATGGTTTTATAAAAAATTTAAGTACTTCTTTATGACAATATTGCAAAATTCTAAGAAACCCATTTTCGCAGTTTGGTAAACCCCAAATTGATTTTAGACGCATGGTTTCTTCGGCAGATTTGCTTAGAATTACACTTAGAATCCTTCTAATAGTAGAAAAAATTTCCCATACAAGTTGACCCGCCCTAATGTACACAATATATACATTAAATTCCATATCAACCGAATTATGCCATATATGTACATTAGGGTGCCCATCAAAAATGTTTTTTTTTTTGGAAATTTCAAAACGCAACTACCTAATTTTGTTTGTTTCAATGAGAAATATTATTGCTTATTTTTATAGATTTTTTAAAGGTTAGAAATTATCGACGATCAAAATTGAAAAAAAATTAAGAGAAATATGGCTTTTTTTTTATTTACCCGATGACAAATCCCAACAAGCCATGACAATAGATTATTATACTATATTATTTTAAAGGCCTATATATTCTCTTCTCAGATCATATTCGATCTTTGAAATCGAATCAAAAATAGTCATTCGAAAACTCATAAATCAACAAAGTTGTATTTTCTGGCCTAAATCGACAGGTCGCGACCTCTAAATAACCTTTAAAAAATCTATAAAAATAGGCAATAATATTTCGCATAAAAACAAATAAAATTAGAGGGTAGGGTCTTGAAATTTCAAAAAAAAAATTCCATGGGCACCCTAATATACATGTATGTTGAATATAATTTTTTTAATGAAAAGTGGAAAGTTTTGCAAACATTCCTATAAAAAATTTTTCATATTTTCCAAAAAAAGAATTAAGCATACATTTTCCTACTTTATACACGCACTACTCACCTGTTTTGATTAACTTAAAGTTGACATTGTTTTGGGATTTGAAAGCCTCATTCAAACTGCTGTGTCCGTAATCCTTTAGCACTCCATTATAGGAAGCCATACCGGCCCGTGGGCCAAGGGAACCACCACGTGGTCCCCTCCACCCAAAAAATCTACGACTTTTTCGACCACTTGAAGATTTTGCTGAAGAATCTGCGAATGTTGATGATGAAGAAAAAATAATTTATTAGTTTGCGAATTTAAAGCTGCATAAAAGTCAAACAAAAAAAAACTAACTCAATAAAACCAAAAAAATGCTAAAATTTTAAAAAGTTTTTAATTACAAACATAAAAGGCAAACTAAAGAAATAAAAATATATCATGCATTAAAGAATAATTTATGGCGCGTAAAGCAAGTTTGCATAAACCATAAGAAAGCGTAAAATATTAAATTTCTCGTAACATACAAAAAACTCTTCTTCATTAAAGTAAAAGAAGCACCGCCTTCAAATTTTCTATAAGTTAAATTAACAGTCAGCTTCAATGCTGCGAGTACTGTTATGTACATATGTATGTATGTATATATGTCCGCAAGCAACTAATTTCCACGTTTCCTATTCATTTCGGCTTTAATATGGCATTGACAGAATAAGGCCCAGCTTTTACTCTTAATTTTTATTTGCATATGCCTTGGCTTTTAAAAACGAAATGGAGAAGCATGCAACGTGGAGCTTTTATGGTAAATAAGCTTGAAACATAGCCTTTCTAATATTGGAAAATTTTGCATGAGCTACCAACTGACGTTAAAGCCAGCCGCCATGCATTCCGAGGGTAGTGTCTGCTACTGGCTGCCGCTCTGCTTCACCCTTCACCAACTGTGGCGGGAATATAGCGCATCATCAATTATTCATGAGTGCCTCAATTGAGCTGCTTACGCTTGTTTACAACTGTCAATCTGAAGCGAGTAGATTGCGCATCTCAGCAGCGTAAGAACGTTGAGTAGAAAATACAACCAAGAAACCGGTAATGACAGTAACTAAGCATCCTTGCAGCACTCCAAGGCAAATGCAATGTTAAATGTTTGTACCCTCATCCGTCGTGGCGTGGCAATGTCAAGGGAAGCAGACCGTTTAAGAATTATAAATAAACTTTGACATTTTACTTCTAATTTTATTATGAATTCTTAATGACGAAGGCAAACAAATGTCGACAATTTAAATTGCGTGGGCAAGTGGTGCATAAAGCGGTTTGTAAATAAATACTTATATCTGGTTTTATATAAACGCGTACAAAATACGTAAATACTTTTAGTTTTTTATTCTTATAAACTGAAATCCAAGCTACTATTATTAAAGAGAATGCTATTGAAAAAAATTACGTTAGAACGCTTTGATTTCTCTCTGGTTTCATTGTCCAATTGCAAATGTGATTATTCGAATCACGCACAAGTGAATGCAAAAATCTATTTTTGTCAACTCATTAGAAAGTTTTTATTTGAGTGAAACTAATCAATAATTCATATTGCTACATATCCTCGGACTATATTTTCAGCGTATAACAGGTACGCGACGAAAATCTAAAACCAAGCAATGCTTTTTATTGGCAGCCGCTTAGCCGCGTGGTCAGAGGAGCGTACATATAATATGTGGAACCCACCCAATCGGCAAAGTAAGCAATAAAGCGGCACTGTCTTTAATTTTTTAATCCAAAATCATATTGACGCAGCACAGATTTAATTTCAGACCAGCTACGGCCCCAACACTTCTACTGCGATTTGTTTCCTCTGCTTCGAATATTAAGAATGTTCGAAGATCTTCTAATACGTGTAGAGCTTGTAAAGAGGAGGTCTTATTTTAAAAAAACGTCTACCTAAAAGCGCTTCCCAATTCGCCAATAGCGTAGTAGGGTCATGGCTTTCCTTAACGCAAGACTTCTTAAAATTTTCATAAATGATCGGAGATTAACAAAATAACTTTAAAACTGCAATAAAGCAATATTTTTAGGATCCTAGCGATCTTCGAAGTTCTCTAAAACAAAAATGTGTATGGTATATTTCGTTATTTCACACCTGAAGCCATTTTGATACTCCTTAGTAAGCTACAACTTACAAGCCAAAAGATGTTAGGGTTAGGTTAGGTTGGGCGGTAGTCTTTTGCAGTCCTTTGTGATACCTCACGAATTTTGCGTTTATCCCCCTTCCCCTATGAACCACTTGGTGCTTAGCTAAAAAGGCTTCTAACATTCTTCGCCTTGAGATCATCAAGATTATTGAAGAAATAACTGCCAAAAGTTTTAGCTCTCCGTTTTCCGGGCAATGGTAGAGAAGATGTGGGATGGTTTTTTTCTTCGTCCTCAACCGTCCCGAATCTGCAGTAGTCATTCCAGGGTGTGCCCAGTCTAACATGTAATCCAATCAGACACCGTGCGGTGAGAACTCCAGGTACTATGCGAATGGCCTGCCTCCTCGGATTAACTCTCTAAGTCTCTACGACTTAGTGCGTTGAGCATCTATTGCTTACTTCACTTCTGCGAATAAATATGATACTTTTCCTCTCATTATTTCTTCATATTCGAAAATTTAAATGATAATTAGTATCAAATATACGCAAAAATGTGTGTTACAAAAATGTTTACAAATTCTAGCCTAAATACTAAATCAAACCGGAGTACATATCAGGGTGGCCCAAAAAAATCAAAGTCGACATTTATTGCTCTCACCCCTTCAGATTGTTCTGTATCAAAAAATATACACATTTTTTAAACTTAAAATATTTAGAGTTCGCTCAAAGCGCTCAAAGTTCTCCATGTATTTTATGGGCAAAAACAATTTTTCGTAGAAATGTTATAGAATTCTTGAAAATCAAAATTTTCTATCGGAAAACTCTGTTTCTCTTCAGAATACTTCCAATTATAATACCCAATTACGTAACTGGCAATTAGACTTAAGCATATGTCTGGTTTGGCAGCACCGTTTTTAAGCTGTCAAACTTGACATCCTTTCTACTTCCCTTTCATTTAAATGGATTTAAGCAAATTGGACGATGTAACACGTCTGAGGTAATCCGCTTAGTTTCCCTGCTTATAAGCCCGATAGGCTTTTCAACCGCAACAGTTGAATTTAGAAGATGGTTAAATAAACAATTGGGTGTTATTACTGTTGGAAGTCTTCTGAAGAAAAACAAAGTTTTCCGATCGAAAAGTATTGATATTCAAGAATTCGATACAATTTCTATGAAAAATGGGGTTTCACCCATATAAAATACATGGAAAACATAGAGCGACCTCTAGATATTTTTTAGTTTCAAAAAAAACGGGGGCATATTTTATTTTACTAGGAGGTGAGAGCACTAAAAATTCGGATTTTACTTTTTTCACATGCATTTTTGGACCACCCTAATGTCCATGCAGATAAAGGTATACATTTCATATTTATTATGTGTTTAATATGTCTTAGAATCCATAGAACTTTTTAACAGTGTTTGGGTATTCGTTCTTTAACTGCATTTGATTAAAATGGCGTTGCTTAGCCAGTTCGTTAGGTGAATTAAGGGGGGTGGGAAGAACAAGAGACATTTCGAACTGAAAGATAATTTGTATCTCTAAAGCGAGTTCCTAATCCCAAACGCCTAAGATAGCCTCGGGATCCTTACTTAACCCTAAACGCCCTCTTGGTCAATTCTTTATCACAAAGGGTTCGACCGTTGGAGCTTGAAAATGAGCATACTCACTCTAGGATAAAAGGAGTTCTTAATTTTGTATGTAAATATGGTATATGTATAATTAAATGCCTGTCTGTACTCATTAGTTTTCTACTTGTAATAATAACCTTTGCAGTAGAATTACTAAATGCATACTTCATTTCACCTGGGATTGAGCCATATTCCTATTCTGAAAACTTACGGAAATGACAATTGCAAATCTAGCAAGATATAAACGGAATAATAATACCATGGGAAATGAAAACGTTCGTCTTCTATTGCACTAAACTTAGTTAGTTATGAAAAGCAAAATAATTTGCGTAAAGTCACAAATCACAACAACTGTAACAACAAGGAAGTGTGCAGTTGATTCATTACACTCAGAGAAATCTTAAGCAAATAGCTCGTGTTCAACTCTCGTGTCAGCATTTGGTGTCTGTGGTACCTACCAAGGTGGTTGTTGCCAGACAGTATAACTTAAATGGATTGAACTACAATAAAGAATGAAAAATTAAAAACAAAAATGGGCGGAAGCGAACAATAACAATGCCTACATCCCATATAACGGTATCTTCTAAAGGGTTTTGGAAAATGGGCGTGACCGATTTATCGATTTCTACAAAACCTAATCCAATTACTTTGAATGGCACTGATATAGCATATTGTCGAAACAGTTCACAATGAGTTGAGAAAACTATATTTAATAAGTGCGCCGGGTATATGAAGTTTGGTTTCAGCTAAACTTATACTACTTTACTTGTTTTATTTGCACCACAACCAGGTTAATAGTATACACTTCGGTAAAATGGCAATAAAATGCAACAGCAATAGTTGTACCAACAAAGTGCTATTCGGAAACTTGAAAATTAATTTCCATCATGATAACAGTGCCAACAGGGAAAACACCTCAACAACAACAGCAATAAAAATTTTAACTTTTAGCAACAAGAAAATGGAGCAAAAAGACTGTTGGTGAAGGTGCAAGAACGTTTGTATTTACATATGTGTATGTATTTTTATGTTAGGGATGTAAATCTCAGGAATTTTTTTATATAAAAATTTCTGCTACTTGCCGTCATTGTAACCACTTTACATCTGTAGATCGTTCCCCAGAAGGCTGACTAAAGTCGTCGCTATTCACCGAGTTTATGATGTTTTCTCGAAAAAAAAAGTCTTTTTCTTATATGGCAACATTATCAGAGTGCAACATTTTAAAGAAACAGCACGCAATATGCTGTGATGATGCTGAGAAAAGAACACGAAAGCTTGGCAGTCCTGGTGCAAGGCAGACTAAATGCAACATTATTTCGAGAAAAGAAAACTCTATTAAAATTTTATTCTGGGGTTAAGCCCATCCATCCATCACTACCAAAAATTCCAAATCCAAAATGTCCACCACCACAAAATGGCCGATTACATATTTTTTTTACAACGCTCACCGTTTGGGTATCAAATAAAATAAACTTCATTAAAAATTATTAGTTTAGGTTGAAATTACTGACGAGCACAATCTTCCTTACTCATGGGTCAATAATTATAACGCTGAGCTCTTATTTGAGCCTAGACGATATCTGCAAGTATTTCAAGGTTTGCCGAAGTTATTGCTGATTAAAAATTTCGTGCCTATGGGTTGTGTCACGCCCCTTGTACAAACTTATTTATATACACCATTACTACTATAAGCGCCTACGAAGGATTTGTCTTCAAACAAAATTTCAAATTCATGTGGCGTATGATTCCAAATTTATGGCTGATTAAAAAATGCACACCAATATGATGTGTCACGCCCCTTTTACACAGGTATATCTACTATAGTAAAGTAAATTTACACCAGATATGTCTGTCAACACACTAAATTTCAAAGTCATGTGACTTACGGTTTCAAAGTTATAGCTGATTAAAAACGTCACGCGTATGGGAGGTGCCACGCCCCCTTGTCAGATCCCATTTATTTATACCCTATGTTATGTCCGAGGTCGCTAGCTAGATACCAGTTGGAGTCCCATGAAAATCCATTCAGTAGTTTCGGAGATTGGTGAGGTCAAACAGACAAACAAACATTTTACCATTACGTGGCGCGAGATTCTAGACATCAGAAACAGAGCTTAAAAATGTCAAATTTTTAGATGCAAGTAACATTCACGAATTCTATAGACTGGTTTAGAACCCTCGTAAATAAACCAGCTTAACTATTTTTGTATGTGTTAAAAAATTGATGCCGCAATCCCGAAATCGAACACCGAATACTAGAATTCATAGTTCAAATGTACATAAGTACTTGTATAAATGTATGTAGGTATGTCCATATGTATGGCAACTATAGCAATGCACGTTGCACTAAAATGTTTCCTTGCACAAACGCACCAACAATAGCTGGCTGCGTTGGGAAATATGTATGTACTTAGCACCGGTGCGGGTCAGTCATGCTGCCATGCTCCATATCTACCCTCGGCGGATGTGTATGTACAACAATATTCACACAAAACGCTGACGCTTGTATCCACGCGCTCCGGGCATGTCGATGGTTTTCCCAAACTAAGGGGTTGCTTATAATTTACGAATTTTATTTTAACATTTTATATCGCAGCTATTGTTTTTCTTTTCAAATTATTTTTGTTTTCTGTTTTTGCATTGCCGCGCACAACTAACTCACTCATTCATTTACCACGGAAAGTCACTTCAATAAAAATTCATTTCGGCGAAAACTTTTTGCGTTCACTGTTATTGTTATGGCTATAAGTTTTACATTGTTGTGCATCGTTGTTTTTTTTTTTGTCGAGTATTATGGCTTACATGTTGCACATTGCATGTTGATTTTGTGTTGCATGTGCGCGCACTCGAGCTACATGGCTGAATTTCATTGTGAAAATCGCATTTGAACGCCATTCTGTTTTCGCCGCGTGCCATGGAGGTGGCTACCCCCTCTGCGCCTATGGCAATTGTTGTTGCTAGCTTGTATGCATACAGTACATATGTACGTACATATATACTCTAGCCAGAATATATTTCCGTACAGTGTTTTTTTTTTTTAATTTTTTCAATGTGTTTCGTAATGCATTTTTTTTTTGTTAATTTGTAATAGAAATAAAGTTCATTCTGCATTAAATGGCATATAAATTAATGATTCAAAGCTTTTACAAAATTTAGGAAAATTCGACAAATTTTCAACTTTTAAACAAAATTTTCAACTGTTAAACGAAATTTTTTAGAATTTTTGAGTATGCAGTTTTGTAGCCCATTCAATTTGAGTATAATAAAGTGCATGTTTTAAGTGGCTATAATCTACCGTTCATTTTTGAGAATTTTTTTACTGGCGCTCTTCGGTATTTTTTCCCATACAATGAGCAACATCATCAGCAAAAAAAATTCTCAAAAATCAACGGTAGTTTATAGCTACTTAGAACTGGTAATTTATTATATTGAAATTGAGTGAACAATAAAACTGCAAACCCAAAAAGTTCTAAAAGAAATTTTTTTAAAGTTGGCAATTTTGGTGAAAATTTGTCGAATTTTCCTAAATTTTTGTAAAAACTTTGAATCATTAATTTATTTGAATCATTTAATTTAATTTATTTATTGTATTACGAAAAACATTGCAAATATCACAAAAAAAAACACTGTACGGAAACATATTCCGACTAGTGTATGTACAAATGCAAACACTATGAAATATGCGTGCAAAACATGCCACGCTAGTAGCAGCTACAGCAACATCAACGACTAAATATTAGACAATGTTGCAATTCAACTGAATCACCTCAGTGGCCACCAACTGAGCCACTGCATGTGAAGAAGCAGGGAGTATTTATGTGTGCAAGAGCTTGTTGACGCAAACAAAAACTCCTACAATGAGACTATCGCCAATTTGTGTCGAGTGCATGAGGTTTGACAAATGGCATCCCAACACCAATTATACCGAAAAACAAAACAAAAACATCGTCAAGTTTGTTGCCACAAAGACTTCCTCAAAATTTTGCAGTGCTAGTCACGTCAATCAACTTTGTACGCAGATAACTAACCCCGAAGCGTGATTGCTGGGACAGTGTGTTTTTATCGATCTGTTTTTCGATTTTTGTAGGCTTTGTTTCTATGAAAGTTTCCCAGCAAGTTGCACGAGTAATAAATATAAGATTTTGTTTATGTTGAAAAATTATAGCTACAAATAGTGTGTATACTGGGCTTAATTACAGTATTCACAAACCATTTAATATATGAACAAAATTTATTTTTATATGGAAGAACAAGCGCAACACCCTCGACAAAAAAAAAGTTCAAAAACCTACGGGATTTTTCAGAATTTTCACATTATTATACTAAAATTAAATGGGCTACATAATTGCATACCTAACAAAATTCTAAAATTTTTTAGAAAAAAGTCGAAAATTTTAACGTAATTTTTTGAAATTTGTTAAATTTTTCTGACTGTTGCAAAAAGTTTTACCTTTTGACTTATAGGATTTATATTAGAGAATCTACTATATTTTTTATGAAAAACGAATGAAAAAAATTTAGCACGTAAAAAATTGTGAATATTGTAAAAAATAAATGTGTTCTATTTACGAGAGCGCCACTGTATTTTCTGCAATTAACAATTTTGTTTAAGTAGTTCTACTGGAATAATCAAAGTACTTCATTAGTAAAAATTTTATTATTTTTAGAGAGCCTAAATTTGCAGATATTAGCGTGGTACGTTAAGGTGGTAAGAACTAAAATCTGGTGAGTAAATACTTACTAAATTTTGATTATACATTAAAATTCTGTAATAAACTTTAAGATTTGACTGTAAATATCGAAGATATGAAGCGACCCTAAAAAAAATTTCGAAAGTGTCTACGACGAACTTTTTTTCTGGTACGACCTAATGTACATACATGAAAATAGATATGTTTTCCCAAAAATTAAGTTCGAATAGTTGCCTTTTCTAAGAGTAAACATTGCAAACCAACCTTTTTTTGCGAAAAATATTTTGAATTATTAAAAAAGAAAATGAAGTCGAAATAATAAAAGAAATAGATATGCAAGTATATCAAATTCAAATAAAGTAAATAACTAAAACAAAACCGATTAGCAAAAAATCGTATTCAAAAAACTATTGAGCTACTAATATACACGCAGCAAACACTTAAACATGCTAACAAAAGGCAACAGAAACAAAACACTAAAAAAATAAATAAATCCAAAAACTACTGTCATGCAATTAAAAATAAAACGTTAACAAATTTTGAGGTTAGATTCATGTCGCTCCAATTTTGTTCAATTCATTTTGTTGCATTCACGTCATTCTCTTTGTAAACATTTTATACATTTTTAATTCTGCAATTTTTTCGTTGGTTATAGCCGCTTTTCATTTCTCTAAATTTAATTGCTGTTATAATTATAATTTTCTATTTTTTTGCTTTATATTTTTTTTAGAAAAGCCGCTTAAAACTGCAAAACTGTAAATCTTAATTTGATTAGTTATTGTGAAAAAATTTGTGTTTTGGGGGCACCTGTCACCTTTCTGGGGCACAACACCACTACTAACGGACGCCGCACGTCTGTCGCGACTCGGCATCTCAGGCTGGTCGGCGGAGCGCTGGCGCGAGTTCATTGCCATCTTTCCTTCATTGGGCGAGGGCGCAAACAGTCCACCACCGCCTTCACGGCTGCGCGGTTCCATTTGTGGCGAATACTGGCTACTGGCGCTAGACAGCGACCCCGTCGGCGCCGAATTCGGCGTCTTCGGCTGCAACTTATACTTTGGTTCGCCCGATTCGAAGAACGCATCGAAATTGCGTTGCCGTAAATTTTCACAATTAAATACTGGATTGTCCACAAGTAGTTGCAAATCTTCCTTCAACCGATTTGATTCACGCTGATCTGTTGAGGTAGAACGGCCGAGGCGACCGAGTGGCAGGTGCAATTTAGGACGCAAACGTGATGATTTGCTCGGCGTCGGCGACTTGGGTTTCGGTTCAGGTGGCAAATTCATAGGCGACATGGGTCGACCCCAACCAGGGCCGTAAACGATCTGGGTCGGATCAGGTGAGGGTGGCTCGAGAAATATGCTTGGGCTGCGATCGCGCGCACCGACCAACTGACCGCCGCCACTGCCAAGCGATGCGCCGCCGCTAGCATGCTCATCCATTTGATCATATTCGTGACTGAGCTGCGGCGTTGCACCGCGCTGTGGCGTCATACCACGTTGCGGTGTTGTGCCGCGCACTGCTGTGCTACGCTCGAGTGTAGGTCTTTGGCCACCCGGTCGGCCTTGCAGCGACTGTGAACTGCCGGCCGCATTGTTCTGCATCTGTGTGCTTGTTGTTGTTGTTGTTGTATTGGGCAAAGTGTTGCGAGGTGAAATATTATTCTGCTTCAACTGCTGTTGCAGCTGCTGCTTCTGCAGTTGCAGATGCTTGAGTAGCTGCTCTTCTTGCTGCTGCTGCTGTTGTAGTAAAATCTGTTGCTGTTGCTGTTGCAGCTGTTGTTGCTGCTGTAGTAATAGCAGTTGCTGTTGCTGCTGCAGACTCGGTGCAAACTGTGGCGACGACTGCAGTGGCTGCTGTCGGGGTGGTGTCTGCTGTTGCCAGCTACGCGCGCTTTTGTTGCTGCGTTCACTGGAGCGTTTCGAGGGGGTTGCGTTTGGAGTGGGCACCGCCGAGGCAGAGTGCGTTAGGGATGTGCGCGATGTGCGCCGGTTCGGAGTCGGTGGTAGAGAGTTCGAGGCGTTTGGCGATGTGTTCGACTGTGGTGGCGCTGCGGGATCGTAAGTGAAGGCGGTGGTGAATACTGGCGCAGCGGAGGGCTCGCCGCTATTGACGACGGACCTCGGTGATGAATCGGGCGCTGCTGCAGTGGTGGTGTTGGCCGCTTTTGTTGCACTTCTACTGAAGCTTGCTGTTCGTTTTTTGTTATTTGTTGCAGCGTTGCTAGTGGCGTTGGCGGCCGCGGATGATGGCGGTAATGATCTTGGTGGAACTTCAATGGGCACTTCTGGTTCGCGCAGGCAATCGAGTGTTGGTCGTGAAGCTAGACGCGGTATTGCGGGACCGTATGTCATCAAAATGAGTTCATCAGCTGGAAATATCACAAACATTCCTGGCCGCCCCCATGTGACATGGTGACTCAGCGAATCTCATACACTCTGCTTTCACAGTGGCGAATCAGTCAATGTAACTGTAGTTTTATAACGAATCGGAATTCGTTGGGAACGCTGTGCTTTAGAAGCGGTATGATATTTGTCTTTTATACGCTCGGTAGGATGTTTTTTTGTGGGATTAGTGATTTTATTTGTAATATTAAAATTTACGTATCACTTTGTCTTCGGTTAGTACTTAAAGTAAATTGTAATATTTTATAAGATTTATTTATTTTAATCGGTATTATTCTTATTTTGTGGTTATGAAGTTCTTTTAAGTTGCAGTAGGTCTTCTCAATTATATTTGTTGTCTTTTTTGGTTTCGTTTGCTTTGCAATGCAGCTAAACTCAAAATTTGTTGAACTAAAATTTAAATCATAAAATGTTTTTTTTTTTATAATAATTCAATTACAACAAATACGTGAGTATGTAAGGTTTGTAAAGAAGGATACATATATTAATATAAATATATGTATATATACAAATATATTCTTGTGTGTAAAGATAGACGCCAAATGTAAATAAGTTCACTAATACACGTACACTTATACGACTAATTAAAGCTTATCTGAGCACAACGTACATTTTTAACTTAGAAAAGCAAATATCACAAATTAAACTGATACATCTCGCGCTATCCGTCCTTTATCCGTGTGTTCGTCATTTAGAACGTTGCATGTTGAACAAAATCTGAAAGGCAGAAGAAAGATTAAAAGTTAGCGATAAAACTCTGAGGATATTCGATTTAAATAGCAAATTATTTAATTTATTATTTAAATACTATAAAAAATTATATCCATCTTTTCTGTGATTAATTTCCTTAAAAATACTGGAATATCTACAGAGGGTCTTGCTCAGACGCGTGTCCGCAGCATAAGCCTATTCAATTGAAAACTCTAATTATTTCCAGCATCCATGTTTTTGGTCGGACTTAGCTTAAATTCACCGCAATAAGAAGAGAGAGAGGCCGAAATACGTGAGTGCGAAGAGTTTGAGATTTTGGCCGACAGGAAAACGGCCAAAAATTTTATCAGAGGGGTAGGCGACTTACAAAAGGTTTCAAGACCAGGGCGAACTCCTGTAAGAACAACCATGGCGACCTAGAGACAGATGTCTAGAACGTACTCAAATTATGGAGGGAACACTTCGATGACGATGGAGTCGATGTCCCACTGCCTGATTATGACGAGGTACGAATACCGATTACGCGGCTGAAAAACAACAAAGCGGCTGGAGCTGACGGTCTGCCAGCCGAGCTATTCAAGAAGTACGGCAGCGAAGAGCTGTTAAGGTGTATGCATCACTTTTTATGCAGAATATGGTCAGATGAACGCATGCCCGACGACTGAAATTTGAGTGTGCCCTTCCCAATCCAGAAGAAAGGCGATCCTGCCATGCGTGCCAACTACCGCGGAACAGCCTTTTAAGCATAGGTTACATTACAAACATCATTACGGTCCCTGATTTAAGCACTTTAATGGCCCAACGCTTAAGCACCAAAGTAGGTTGGTTAGATTTCCTGGATGCCCTCATCATAGGCCTTCATGGGCCCATTGTGATACCATATTTGAGACTCCTAGCGTCCCTCCTCCTACTTCAGAAATTGAACCAATTTTTAGCTCTGATAAAGCGCACAACATCGTAGATACTGGCCGAAACCAGATCAACCAGACACTCGAAAGAATAACGAAGGAGCGAGCGTCGACGAGCACTTGCCAAAGCGGGATAGTGGCGCAGGTAATGCTCCACGCTCTTGATATCCTCCTCATCGCGGCAGTTCCGACAGTAATAGTTTGGCTGCAAACCCACCTCGGCAGCGTGGGTTCCCATAAGGCAGTGCCCGGTGAGAATTCCAATAACAAGGCGGGCCATTGGTCGCTTCAAACGGCAGAGAGGGCGAGATCTACGCTTATCTAGCCTAGGCCAGATGTGTCTCGCTATCCTGCACGTGGGCTCCGCGGACCATCTTATATTTGCCCGTTCGATAAAGTTATTCTGCGGCCAGAGTTTACAGGATGATAGCGGAATACCCGCATTACGAGCGCTACAGATCGCAGGCAGTAGGGTTCCTTTCCGAGCCAGTTCGTCCGCAACACAGTTGCCCGATATGTCCCTATGACCTGATACCCTGATACCCTGATACAACTTGAGTAAAGTAACTCCTTGCCAGCTCATTTAGAGTACGTCTACATTCCATGACAAACTTCGATGTAGATGTGTCACAATTAAGTGCTTTGATAGCTGCTTGGCTATCAGCAAAAAAACAGTACTGCGTGTAGATTAGTAGGAGAATCGATCGGCCATCTAGCAGCTTCGTAGATTGCTGCTAGTTCAGCCTGAAAAACGCTACACTAATCTGGCAGAAGAAAACTGAGGCTAAGTGAGAATTCTTGCGAATATATCCCACTTCCTACCTTCAGATCTAGCTTGGAGCCATCGGTGTAGATGGCTGCTGAGTCAGAGTAAGAGATCAGTATTGAATCCTCCTCCCACTCACCCCTTGAGGGGATCTTTGTTAGGATATGACTATTTAGTCCAGTAGGCCGGACTGTGTAGTCAAGGCGCCTGAAATTTCCTGGAAGATCTTTCAAAATTCTAGAGTGTCCAAATCTTGTATCACTCCACTTGATCAGCGTGATCATCATAAGCACCAAAGTCAAGTTTAACGCATTTGTATGGACTCTTTAAAGAATTACGTAAGTCGAGTACGGAAACTTTTTCCCACGCAACGTTCAAATCTTCAATTGCCAAAGCTGTATGTAGTTTAAGATGTCATATTAAAAAGCGCTCAAAAACTTAAAGTTTTATAGGAAAGTTTATTATGCTTGCCACTAAAAGCAAAACTTTTAAAATCACATATTTAATTTGTTGCTCGAAGGAGAAACTATTCTGTCTGCCAAGCGAAAGTTATGAGGCAATGTAAAACAACGCTCAACTCTCACCTAATGATAAATTACTTAGCCGCCTTAAATACCAGCTTAAATTCATAAGCCACCAGCAAAAATATGTCTGGTGCTTAACGCCTCTATTAGTAAAGCGTATTCGTAAGTTAGCCACCACTACTATAATGTCTATAAGTGTTGACTATGCGTTTATTCAGTGTTTGCATGCCTAAGAGAAAATTCTGGCTGGCTGCTAAATTTACCGCACAACCATATTTTAAGTTTTTTTTTTTTTTACCGCTAATAAACAAGTTACAAAGTATAACGAAAGCATAAAACTTTTGTGAGTCCATTTAAGCGTTGCGCATAATTTGCTTGAACTTTTATACAAGCTAAACTGTCTTAGAGTAAAGGTAGCTGCGACGCTTGTGGACTGAGACAAGCGGAAAAGCATGAAGGCTTTATTTTATATATTTTTATTCTTTGTTTTTTTTTTGTTTTGCTACTTTTCTTCTGCGGATTCTCGTTAACGATATATTTTGCCACAAGTTTTATAAGAAACGAAATTTCAGTGTGATATTAAAGCTTTATAAGACTGTAACTATTTGTATGTGTTGATGTGCTTAGTTGTAAGAAAATTTATGTTTGTATACTCGTGGCGGCTCTACACACACAACTACTATGTATGTTTTTATGTTAACAGGTGAGTTTTCATTTTCTACAGGTTTTTATTCTCATTATGAAGAGTGTAAAATCAACAGCGTAGTAATTTTTCTCTGCTTGGCTACACAAATGCGCTTTGGTAGCGCACCCTTTATACCACTGTTTCTTTTTATCTTTATTGTTTAATATTATTTTCTTAATTCACTCTTGCCCAAGATGCCTCTTTGACAATTTGGCCTCTGTCTGTATGGTACTGTAGACTATCGCAGCTCAGAGCCAGAAAAGATTGGCAGTCCCTTTGAAAGGACATCTTTCTTTTGGTGAATCTCGGAAAATTTTGTGAAGGTTTATTATTAGCATTAATTATAAGAGCTTAGACAAAATATCTATTTCAATAATTACGCATTCAATACTACAAAGATAATTTACTTGGCATCTTCATATGTATGTATATATTAATAACATCAATTTCCCAGTAGATAATTTCAGGAGCTAAAAGCACTTCCAAAAGGACTTCTTGAGAGTCCCTTCTCCTTTGTCTTTTGTATGGAGTGGCACAATTGAAGGCATTCGCGTAAATTTCAAATAGAAAAAGACCTTCTAGAAGCTAGGCCTGGGTAGGCTTTTTAGAATGGTTTCACTTAGGAAGGCCTACCTAAATTATCTTCTAGGTTTGTCACTTTGCTTCTGGCGTTTCCACCGAATCTATTTCAAAACCGAGAACACCATTGGAGAGGAATTTTTTTGTGAATGAGGAAAGTTTTTATGGTTTAATAATTATTGAAAATTACGGCCAAAATCGTCGTTTAAAAATTTCCGTATTTGTGTATAGTGGTTGTTGCGACCTATTCAATTTGAGTTGTTGTCGCATTTTGTTTTACTTCGTATTTGAAGTTAAACTTTGTAATAAAAATAAATCTAATTATAAAGAAATAAACGACAAAAACATTTAATTCAATAAAGTGAAGGCAAAATTGAAGATAAAGACGAAAATTAAAAGAATGATAAATACGTTTAAATGACAGCGTAAGAATATGTATTAAATTTTTCGATAGGAATCGAAAGATATCAAGTTACCTAAATTTAACGAATCATCGACGTTTATAGTTATCGACAATTATCGAGTTATCCATGTTTATTTATTTATCGCAACGTATCAAATTATTCAACTTGATCAATGCTTACTAAGTTGTCGAAATGAAACTTAGTTGTCGAAATTTACGGATCGTTACCGAGCTAAAGAACTTATGGGATTATCGAAATTTGCCAAGTTCATGAAATTCACCAAGTTATCGATATTTATTGAGTTTTCATTATTTATAGAGCTAACGAAATTTATCGAGTTATCGTAATGCATCGAGCTCTTTCAACTTAGCGACTTATTGATATTTATTTAATAACTGAAATTTGTCGCTTTATCGAATCGAAGTTCTTGGAATTTTCACTATATATCAATTTATCGAAATTTCAGGTTTATATAAGTTTATCGAGCTATCACTGCTTATCAAATTTTATCGGGTTACCAGTGTGTAGAAAGTTATAGAAATTTGCCGATAACTTTCGAAAGATATGGAGCTATCAAATTATACCGAGTTTTCTAAATTGATAGAAGTATGCAATTTGTATCGAGTTATCGATTTGTATAGAGACATCTACATTTTTAAGTTGTCGAAATTTATCGAGCCCTAGAAAAAAGTACGGTTATCGAAATTCGTTGAGTTATCGAATTTTGTGCGTCTAGATACCACACACCAATGGAGGTCTGTATTTAGGAGTATTCCCAAGATCTGCCTGCCCGAATTGGTCCATAAATAATTGAACATTTTTTAAAACCCGACGAGTCATGCCTATTTTTTTTATTTTCAATCGTTCACACCACAAAAATCGCCATTAGCTGAAGTTGTATAAAACTGACCCCACCACACATACACATAAACTTTTTACTAGTATTGGTACAACTTACACCTAAGTACTTATGTAAAGCCATCATTTGCTGTTACTTAGCAATAAATTAAGTACAATTAATTCTAAATAGAAACTTCATACTTTGTACATAATTGGTTATTAAATTTATTTAAAAATTTATACATTTTCTCAAATATACATTTAACAAGAAGTTTTTGATTTTCTCATTTTCTTAAACTT